AGCCGCCCCACGGCATCCACCCCCACGGGTAGCCGAGCTCTGTCCCTCGGTGCCAGGGGAGGCTGGGCTGTGGATGCTCTCCCTGCTGTGCCATCACACCGGCACGTTGGCCTCGTGCCTCTCGGTGCCTCCCGGTGCCTCCCAGCGCCTCCCAGCCACATCCAGCTGCCCAGCCGCAGCACAGCACCCACCCCAGCCCCACAGCACCGCCGCATTGGGGCCGACACATGCCAGAGTAACACTGCAGACCCCAGCGCAGCCGGCACCAACGATGGCCCCGTGGGGTACTGGGACCCCCGGGGACCCCAGACTGGGGCAGTGCAACACGGCAGCCGGCAGCACCAGGAGCAGGGTGGCTCACGGCGGGGTCCCCCTCCCAGCTCTGCGCGCGCCCCGGGGTCCCTACCGCGGTGCGTGCCGCCGGTGCGCGCTGGCTTCCAACCCCTGCTGGCCTCGGCTTCGGGCCCCTCCTCCGGCCCCTCTGCAAGGCAAACACGCTGCCCGGTGAGCCCCCCAGCACGGGGGCCCACACCCCACGGCACCCCCCACACGCAGCCTGCCTGCAGCCTGCCCGCAGCTGGGTGCCTGCCCACAGCTGGGTGCCTGCCCGTGGCCGGGTGCCTGCCTGCAGCCTGCCCACAGCTGGGTGCCTGCCTGCAGCCTGCCTGCAGCCAGTGCGTGCCCCGATGGGGCAGGCAGCCTTAGCCTCCCCTCGCCCGGTCTCGCTGCCCGCATTACCGGGAAGGCAGCGCCGCTGCCCAGGGCTGCCAGTCGCTCCGGCAGACAGGCAGGACTCTGTGCTTGGCACAGCCGCCCTCGCCGCGATCATGTGCCGGTCCCGGCACGGGAGCAGCGAGCGACTCCCCTCGCCAGGAGCCCGGACAAAGGGCCCCTTTCAGTGCCGCGCTCAGCCCCACGGGCCCCTTGGGGCCAGGGGACAAAGGTCCGGCACTCGGCACCGGCAGCGCGGAACTCTCCTTGTTCAAGGCCAGCGGCTGGCGTGGCACCCACAGGGCTGCCCCCAGCCCCGCAGAGGGGTGGGCGTGCGGCCAGGACCCTCCGGCAAGGCCGGTGCACCCCCTCTGTACTCTGGCGTGGGGAGCTGCCGGCACATCCCTCTCGGTTCTTACCTCCGCGTCTGCCGGCGGCTTCGCGCTTCCCGGCAGCTTCCCCAGGGGAGCAGACTGAGCGGCTCAGCGCTGAGACGTGTGCCGGGGCCTGGCACGTTGCCCCCGCTGGGGATCCCGACGCTCGCCGCCCCGCGCCGTCCCCGGGCGCAGCATCACGTCACGCTGGGGCTGGCACACGTCGGCGCCGTGCCGCATGCCAGCCCTGCACTGGACACTCACCCTGAGCCCACGGAGCCGGTGTCGGAGCTGGGGGTGCGGCACTCGGCACACGCTGCCATGTGCTCCCCAAACGGGCATGTGTGCTGCTGGGACCCCATGGCACCGTGCCGGCTTGTGCCCACGTGTGCCCCGGTGCCTCTCAGTGGGTGCCCTCGGCAAGTGGAAATGCCGCGGGAGCGGCTGTGCCCCCCACTGCCTGCCGCCTGCCTGCCGTTTGCCCACGGGGATGGTGAGCTGCACCATGGGGGGGACCTGCCGTCGCCCTGTGGGTTGGGGGAACCCGGCACCAGGGGCTGGTCACCCCCCGGCTGCTCCGCTGGGCTCTGGCACCCGGGGACGATCCATGGCTGCCCCACACCGTTCAGCCGTGTTGCGGGGTCTCTGCGGCACAGGAGGGGGTCCAGCAGGGGACACGGGGGACGCCATGGGGACCGTCCCGCCCCGAGCTGCCCCTTGACATGTGGCGGCATCCCCTGACACCTACCTGGGGGGCTGCGGGGGAACCCACAGGGACGGCAGCAGGCAGTGGGTCGGGTGGCGAGGCAGCACCGTGGGCAGGACCCCCGGCACCTGCAGCCACGGGGGGTCACCGGCCGCCCCCCACCTGGCAGGGACACTCTGCAACCGGGCTGTGCTGGGGGGGCCTACATGCCAGGCTGGCCCCGTTACCCCCTCGCCCCATGCCCCAGTCCAGCTGTGGAACAATGAACTCCAGATGTGCAGCCCCTCCCGCTGACTCACCCCGCTGGGCTCAGGATGCTCCCAGCCCCGCTCCCCTTCTGGGGACGGGAACAGCCCCCCCCAGCCCCCGCATCCTGGTCCCACCGGGCTCCTGGCCAGGGAAGGAGCTGGACATGGCAGAGCAGGCATGACACCAGGATCCAGCCCAGCAGCAGTGGGAGAGAGTGCTGGCCGGGGGGGGACAGGGCTGTCCCCGGCCAAGCCACCTCTCCTGCCTGCCCGAACCCCTCTGGCAGCAGCTCTGCCCCACGGCTCTGTCCCCGTGTCCCCATGTCCGCTGCGTCTCACACATCCCCCATGTTCCTGGGATCACCTGGGTCCCCCCCAACCCCCTGCATCCCCCATATTCCCCCCACCCCATGTCCAGCAGGCAGCCACACCACATCACCCTGGTCCCCTCATTCCCTTCATCCTCCTTGTCCCCTGCGTCCCCCATGTCCCCTGTGCCCCCTGTGCAGCAGGCAGCTCCACTGCACAGCCCTGTCCCCCGCATCTCCTGTGTCCCCATGTCCCCTGCATCCCCCGTGTCCCCTGCATCCCCTGTATCTTCTGTCCTCCACATCCCGTGTCCCCTGCGTCCCCATGTCCCCTGCATCCCCTGTGTCCCCCACATCCTGTGTCCCCCATGTCCCCCGTGTCCCCTGCGTCCCCATGTCCCCTGCATCTCCTGTGTCCCCCACATCCCTCATGCCCAGTGGGCTCCCCCATCAGCAGGGGGCCATGCCATGGGGTGCCCCCCCGTCCCTGCCCGGCTGGCGGACATGTCCCCAGGCAGGCCAGCTGCCCGCAGGCCGTACCCCCTGCCCCCCCGGCCCCCCCAGCCCTGTCCCAGCCCCAGCAGCTCCCACGGCCCCTGCGCTTCCCCTGCCTGACTCATCCCTGCCTGCGGATCCCGCTGCCTGCCCCAACCGGCCTGGGCCCGGGCCAGGACGGCAGCAGCAGGCAGCTGCCTGCAGGGCCTTAACCCTCTCGGGGAGCGGAGCAGCCCTCCTGCACCCCCATGATGCCCACCAGCCCCCTGTCTGCGGCTGGGGCTGGGGCAGGCAGCGAGGGCAGCGCGGGCAGGGTGCACTGCGGGCAGGGTGCACTGCGGGCAGCATACGGGGCAGGCAGATTGCAGCACAGGCAGGGTGCGCTGCAGGCAGGTACAGTACAGGCAGGATGCGGTGCAGGCAGGTTGCAGCACAGGCAGGGTGCGGTGCAGGCAGGATGTGGTGCAGGCAGATCGCAGCACAGGCAGGGTGCACCACAGGCAGGGTGCAGTGCAGGCAGATTGCAGCACAGGCAGGGTGCACTGCAGGCAGGTGCAGAGCAGGGTGCAGCGCAGGCAGGCAGCATCGCAGGCAGGGTGCAGGCAGGCAGGCTGCAGCACGGGCAGGGTTAACAGCAGGCAGAGGAAGGAATGCTCCGGAGCGTTCTCTGCTTGCTGACACTGTGGCGGTGCCAAACCGCAGGCCTGGCAGGGCCACGCTGCCGCTCCCGATCTGCCGGCGGCTCCCGGCCCCTCGACGCCCCATGGGAAGGGGGAGCAGGAGCGGGGCCGGATGTAGCCCCAGGGTCTGGATGTTCCCAGCACCGGGGCTCAGGGGCCTCCGCAAATCCGCTGCCTGGCAAAGCGAGCCTGGGGGGGGGCACAGAGCATGCCCGGCACAGCCTGCCCCCCCACCTGCCCTCAGCTCTGCCTGCACCCCAGCTCCGTCCCCACGCCCCAGCAGCCCCAGCGCAGGGTTTGTGGGAAAGGCCATGGGAACAGCCCAATCCCAAGCCGACCAGACCGGCAGCACCACAGCGTTGAACCCCGGCCAGAGCACGCCATGGCCCTGCAGCCGCTCCCACCAGCAGCCCCCGGCCCCACGCTGCCCACCCGCCTGCCAGCATGGGGTGGGCGATGCCAGCGTGGGGGACAGCGCTGGCACAGGCGGGCGATGCCGTAAGCTTGTCCGTCACACCAGGCCAGGCACGGATACCCTTGGTGCTGGCAACCCTGGAGCTGGCGGGGCACTGTGCCACGGTGGGCACAGAGGGTTCCCAGCACTGGTGCCAGCCTGGGACCACGTCCTCCCCCCAACCGGGACCCAGCCATGGGGCGAAGCAGAAATGCCGTTGCTGCCAGCGGGGCTGGGGCCAAGCTGGGGTGGCCGGTAGTGCTCGTGGCAGAGCCACAGCTACCCTCAAGTGCCACCGGCACCAGCACCAGCCTGGAGTCCCATGACCCCCAGCCCCAGCCAGCACTGGGTGTCCCTGGCACCCCATGAATCCTGGCCATGTGCCCCTGTCCTCTCCCATCCTTTCCACCCACATCCATCCCCCATGCCCACCCGCCCTGCGCCCACCGTGGTCCAGGGAACACCTCCCCTCCTGGCACTGGGGGCTCTGGGGGGGGACGGACCCCACGGGCCCTGGCCCGGGCAGAGGCAGGGGGAATGGCCAAGCCCCCAGCTCCGCTCTTGGCCCCCCAGGATCGGGGCGGGCAGACGGTGAGTGCTCCCAGCACTGTGTCCTGCATCCCATGCTCTCACCTGCACCGGGGCTGCCGGGAGGGGGGCTGGTCCCTGGGATGCGGGGGACAGGCCCGAACGGGACCCCATCACCAGGACAGGGGGGGACAAACCTGGGGGAGACCCTGACCCCCAGACAGGCAGGATGACCCCAAAGGGGACAGTGTCCCTAGGATGGGGGGGGGGCCCGGTCCCAGGATGGGGGACCATGCCCTGGGGACCACCGTGGCTGCAGGCGGGTCCCCAGCTCGCGGCCCTGCCCCCTGGGGCAGCTCCAGGACCCCCAAAGCATAGCCCCATAGCCCCACAGCCCCCCACCTACAGCCCCCCAAAACCTCGTGGACACAGGGAAAGGCTCCAACTTTATTCCCAGTTTTGCTCTTACTGCACTGGTGACCCCCAAATCCTCCCACACCCCCCTTCCCAGGGGCTGGAAAGGGGGGCCGACGGGGGGCCCTATCCGGGTGAGGACCCCCCCAAACTTCAATGCCCTGGAGCAGGGCAGGGACACCCCCAGCCCCGAGCCCCCGTTGGCAGAGCCAGTACACCAGGATGGTGGATGCCAGGGGGCTCAGGGAGGGGCCCCGTGGCGGCGGCAAGTGATGAGGTACTGGGGGTAAGCCTGGGTGTCGTTGAAGATGACGAAGATGGCGGGCTGCAGGGGGTTGTCCACCACGCTGTCGTAGCGCAGGGGGGCCCCGGCCCCCTCCCGCAGCGGGGGGGCCCGCAGCCCCTGCCCTCCCACTGCATAGTCCCCAGTCAGCACCTTGGCCACGAAGACGTACTTGCTGCCGTCGGCGCTGCGCGGTGAGTACTGCTCCTGCACCGAGACTGCCGCGTCCACCGCGAAGTACACGCCAAGCCCGTAGAGAGCAGCTGCAGGGCCAGTGGAGGGGGGGGGACATCAGCCCATGGCACTGGGGCAGCAGGGGGGGCACGTGGCAGCGGCACCATGCCCGGATCGGCACCCCACTCCCACACCGGCGCTCACCGTTCTTGCCGCAGAAGCTGCGGTTGAAGCCGTGCAAGCAGATCTCGCGGCTGGAGGTCTCGGTGGTGCCGTGGAAGAGGATCCGCTCCACCGTGCCGCTGGCGCAGGCCTTCTCCATGCTGGCCTTCTTCAGCTGGTACTGCTTGTACAGCAGCGGGTGGATCAGCTTCTCCACCTGCTGGGCAGCACCGCAGCGTCCGGGGCTCTGCCGCGGGGACACCCCCAGCCGGGGTCCTGTGTCCCCCCCCAGTGCCACCAGCACCCACCTTGACGACGCTGATCTTGTTGTGCAGCTCCTCCAGCGTCTCGTAGAAATGGCACACGGTGTCGTGGAACTCCTCCGAGTCCTCGGCCAGCGGCATCAGCCTCACCTCCTCCTCCAGCCCCAGTGCCTCCAGCCCTGCTGGATGCAGCCCCAGTGAACGCCGGCACGGCACAGCACCCCCCCAGGCAGGGGACCCCGCGGCGGGGCAAGACTGGCCCCGTGGCACCATCCCGCTCGCACGGCACAGCAATGCTGGGGGCAGCGGCACGTACTTAGCAGGCGGCGGGCGCTCTCCGTCGGGGGCTGGCTGCGGGAGACGGCCACGGCAGAGGCGTTGCTGATGTCGTACTCCTCCATCCGCTCAAAGTCGACGGTGAAGGGCCGTCCGTCCAGCAGCAGGTCCAGCCGGCGCGCCCGGCGCAGCCAGGCCCGCTCCAGCAGCGCGGCAGCCTCAGGGGCGTAGGGGACAGCGGTGCCGGAGGGGTCCCAACGCACCCAGCAGGCGGTGGTGGCAGCAGGGGGACCGCGCTCCGGCTGCGGCAAACGCTGCAGCAGGAGGGTGAGGTCATGGGCGGCGGCGGCAGTGTACTCAGCGAAGCCGCTCAGTGTGGCAGTGCCGTCGCGCAGGCAGAGGCGCACAGCGTGCTTGCGCTGCAGGAAGGTCAGGCAGCGGCGGCAGGCGGCCGGCAGCGCCCGCAGGCACTCGCTCTCCACCTCCTCTGCCCGCAGCCGCCCCTCCAGCGCCTGCTCCAGCTCCCGCGGCACCGCGGCCACGTCCTGCTCGAAGGACGAGAACAGCGTCACCTGCACCGCATCCGCCGCCGGCAGAGCCTCCTCCAGGGAGGCCTCCAGCGCAGCCAGGAGGCCAGCATCTTGCTCTTCCTCCCGTGCGCCGGGTGCTGCCCGCTGCTCCTGGCAGTAGGAGTGGAGGGAGAGCGCGGTGGCACGCGCCAGCTCCTCCTCCTCGCGCCGCGTGCTGTCCATGGAGCGCTGGATGGCCAGCATCATCTGCGCCTCCTCCTCCTCCAGCCTGCCCAAGGGCATCTCCCTGGTGCCCTCCCCGTCGGCCGCCTCGGGGGACTCGGCGTCGGGGTCCTGCTCCCCACCAAGGATGTCGCCAGGCTGCGGCGCAGGCTCCTCATCACCGGCGGCCTCGCTGGGGTGCAGTGCCGCCAGCAGCTCCTTGATCTCCTCTGCAGGGAGGAGCGAGGTGTCAACCACGAGTCCCGACCATGGTGTGGGGAAGGAACCGGCATCCGCGGCCCCCTCCCACCGCGGCGCCAGGAGAGCGGGTGCCGGAGCGGCCCCCTCGCCCCACGCCACCCCTCACCTATGTTGGAGCGAAGGCCATCTGCATCGGCACCGTCGGCATCATCAGGCAGGTCCCAGTGCCGGGAGTGCAGTGCCTCGGGCAGGGGGTCCTGGCAGCAGCTTGGGGGGAGCAGCTCCTCCAGCTCTGGCTGCAGGGACAGAGGGGCAGGATGCCATCACCAGTACCGCACCTGCATGGCAGGGACCGGCACGACGGCACCCGCCTCCTGCCGGCTCCGGCGCTAGACCCGCCGCCCTCCCCAGTCAGGGTGGGCACTGGCCATACCTGGGGGTCCGGGGGGCTCCAGTGGACGCCGTCCAGGTCGATAATGCACTGGAAGCGGCTCTCCAGCTGCTGGAGGATGCTCTGCCCACCCGTGTCCCGCAGGAAGCGGGCGACACCGGGGAACCGCAGCGTCACCAGCTGCGAGCCCACGGTGCCCAGCAGGCTCTGCAGGAAATCGGCCGCTGCCCGGCACCGGCCCGTTTCCCCGCTCACCTGCCGGCGAGGGCTGGGCAGTCAGGGCCTGCCTGCCGCGTTGGCACCGCGGCACCAGCAGCCCTCGCCCCTGGGCGCCGCGGGGAGCCGCAGACCCACTGCCGGCCCGTTGTGGCGAGGAAGGGGAGGTGGGAGCCGCAGGCACAGACCCCTGCCCGCACCTCTGCCCGCAGCTTACCCGAAAGCCGGCGACATCCTCCCCCTCCAGCGGCAGCAGGGAGACCTCGGGGATGCTGGCCAGCAGGTCCTGGTAGTGCCGCTGCAGGTAACGCAGCGCTCCTGGCTCTGCCGGCACCAGCGCCTCATCCTGCGCCGACCCCGCCAACACCTGCTCCTGGTGCTGCCCCTGGCCGACCGCGTCCTCGTCACCCTCCGTGTCCTCATGCCCGCCAGGGAAGGCAGCCGACAGCTCTCCTGGCACACGGCTCAACACCTGCGGCTCGGCCGCCTCCGGGCATGTGTTTCGGCTGGCAGGAGCCGGGGGGCCCGTGTCTGGTGGGGGGGCTGTGTCTGGTGTGGGGGCCAGGGCTGTGTCCCATAGGGGGTCTGTGTCTGGCAGGGGGGCTGTGTCCTGTGAGGGGACCATGTCTGGTGGGGGGGCCGTGGCCGTGTCCCGCAAGGGGTCCGCATCCCCCTCCAGCGATTCCAGGAAGGGGTAATGGGGGGTGAGGACCAGCATCGTGTCCTGCAGCCGGTGGGGTCTCTGCAGCACCCGCTCCGCCACTGTGGGAGGAGAGGACGGGCAGCCGGCAGCCAAGCGCAGCCCCCCCTGGCACCTGGCCCTGCCCTCGCCACAGTCACGGCGCAGGCAGGACGGAGCAGGGTGGCCAAAGCTCGGCACCGGCAGCCGGCCGGGTCAGCGCCGGCGGGGAGGTCCCATTCGCCCCTGCTCACCTGCCGGCTCCTGGAAGGTGACGATGGCCGCCCGGCCGCCCGGCAGCAGCCGCACCGCCTGCACGCTGCCACCCCCGCTGCGCCGGTTCTCGAAGTAGAGCTCCAGCAAGTCATCGCTCAGCCCCGGCGCCTCTGCCCGCACCAGCACGCTGGTGGGGCGTGGCAGCCGCAGCAGGGCCAGCGCGGCCCCCTCCAGCCCCTGCGCCCGCTGCTCCGCAGCCGCAAACTCTGCCAGGACAGGGGTGGCGGTGATGCCGGGGGGCCCTGGGGACACGGCGGCAGCTCCCCCACGGCCCAGGCAGCAGCCAGGGGCTGGAAGCCCCTTCAGCCGCCCGACCATGCCAACGACACCGTTTGTCACCCCCGGGTCTGGCAGGAGACAATCGCCAGGAGCACTTCCACTGCAATTCACTCACCGGCAGGACCCCACCACTGACCGGCCCTGGCTCACTGGCACCGCCGGTCACCCGCTGCGGGGATAAGGTGCCGTGGCACTTGGCAGCACCAGCCCTCTGCTGAGCCGGTCACCCCAAAACACCGCTGCCGTGGTCCTGGCCACAGAGCGGCGCAGCAGACCCCGCACCCCAAAATGCCGCCCCGGCATTCCCGGCACCAGTGCTGCACCGTAGCGAGGGGAGCGTGTTGCCCCCCGCCCCTGGGGATTGCTCCCCCCCTGCACCCACCTTGGGGGGTGATGGGGTCCCGCAGGTGCAGCAGCGCCCAGCCGGGCGCGGGGCCCCGGCGCAGGCTGAAGGTGTCGGGGGGGCGTCCCAGTAGGGTCTCCAGGCGCAGCTCCAGCAGCTCAGGGGGGGTCCGGGGGTCGAGGTCCCGCAGCAGCAGGCGGGTGGGGTCCCAGGGGGTGGCAGGGCGCACCACCAGCTCGGCCCCCCCCAGCCGGTGGCTGCTGTGGGCCAGGACGTTCTGGGCATCTGTGCGGGGGGATGGATGGGTGTCACCGGGGTGGGGAGGGGGATTGTAGCACCTGAGACCACCCGGCACCCTGCCCCCCATTGGGACTCCCTGGGGGGCACAGCACCGCTCACCAGTGCTCCAAGTGGGGCTGGGGGTGCCACCCCCCCATACTGCAACCCAGTGCTCCCAGTGGGAATGCCCGCCTTACCCATCCCAGTGCTCCCAGCTGGGACTGGAGGCCCCCTGATCCCTATCCCAGTGCTCCCAGCTGGGACAGGGACCCCCCAACAACCCATCCCAGTGCTCCCCGTTGGGACAGGGACCCCCTATTTCCCATCCCAGTGCTCCCAGCTGGGACTGGGACCCCCCACACCCCATCCCACTGCTCTCGGTGGGGCTGGGAGTGACCTCCTGCACTCCATCCCAGTGCTCCTGGCTGGGACCGCGATGCCCCCCACCCCATCCCAGTGCTCCCAGCAGCAGCCGCGCCCTCGCCCCGCGCTCACCCTGGGGGTTCTCGAAGGTGAGGAAGAGGAGGGGGCCGAGGCGCTGGCAGCTCTGGACGGGCCCCCCCCCCGAGCGCCGCCGGCTCTCGAAGTAGAGGACCACCAACTCCTCCTCCGTGCCGGGGGGGACACCCCCCACCTCCAGCACCCCCTCCGCCATCCTGCCCGGG